CAGGTGAAGGAAGCTTCTGCATTATGCTCCACGTTCCTAACCCACGTATTACGTGTAGACGGATTGTGCTCGAATACGCAATTAGAGAAGGAATTACGTGCCTTCTGGGATATAAAGTCTCTGGGTATTACAGAGAACGAATCACTTGTGCAAGGACAGTTTAAGAATCATGTCAGTTTTCAAGATGGAAGATATGTAGTAGCCTTGCCATGGAAGGATTCGTGCCTTCCATTGAGTAATAATTTTCGATTGAGCCTGTGCAGACTGAACAGCCTTTTTAAGAGATTGAAAGACACGCCAGATTTATTAGAGAAATATGACGCTATTATTAGAGAACAGCTTGATTTAGGCATAGTAGTACCAGTAGATGATAGTATGATTAGCCCAGTGAGTGCATTATATGCCTCATCAAGCTGTAATACGCCGTGATAAGAGTACCACGAAAGTTCGCATCGTTTACAATGCCACAGCCAAGGCTGACAGCCCATCTTTAAATGATTGCCTTCATACTGGACCTTCACTTCACAGGAAGATATTTGAGATTTTAGTGAGATTTCGGGCCTATCCAGTAGCTTTAGCCTCAGATATAGAGAAGGCATTTTTGATGATACAAGTGGCCAAGCCTGACCAAGATGTTTTTTGATTTTTGGTTTAAGGACATTCACGCAATGTTCCAGAGCTTCAGATTCTGAAGTTTACAAGAGTGGTATATGGGGTAGCCCCTAGCCCCTACCTGTTGAACGCGATGATTGGTTGTCATTTGGAGCAATTTGAGAATACACACAAGGAGACTGTACGTAAAATTAGAGAGTCAATTTATGTTGATGATATCATAATGGGGGCACAGAGCGAGTCAGAAGCCTTGAAGTTGTATCAAGAATCAAAGGCTATATTTTCTAATGGTGGATTTAATCTCAGAAAGTTTACTACTAACTGCCAAGTTTTACAAGGAAAGATTGATGAGATGGAGCAATGCAAGGAGAAGACAGGAGCTGATGAATCTTAAACTCAATCTACCTTGGGTGATGGACTGACTCAATTGTTCAAGGGGGAGCATAAGATATTAGGGATTATTTGGGATGTTGACATGGATGCGTTGATATTTAATGTGAAGTGTATATTTAATGAAGCATCGTGAATGGAGCCCACGAAACGTAACATTATCAGTCTTGTCAGTAAGATTTTTGATCCTTTGGGAATCTTATCACCAGTTGTGATACCTTTTAAGATGTTCTTTCAAGAATTGTGTTAGAGTAAGGTGACCTAGGATGAAGTACTAGGAGAAGATCTTCAAAGAAAATGGAAAGACCTGTTGAATGGATTGCAAATGGAGGAATCATTGAGGATACCTAGATGCTATCTGCCTACAGTGAACGAAGGATTTAGACTGATCGGATTTTGTGATGCCTCTATAAAGGCTTTTGCTGCTGTGGTCTATTTACAACATCAAAACCAAGACTGTAGTCTTGTAGCCTCAAAAACGAGAGTTGCATCAGCACAAGCGCAGACTATTCCTAGATTAGAATTATTGGGTGCGATTTTACTGTCTAGACTCATAGCAAATGTTAAAGAAATTTTTGGATGTGTAGCGAGTGAGTGTAAATGTTTTACAGATTCCTCTATTGTTTTACACTGGATTCGAGGACCTGACAAAAACTGGAAGCCTTTTGTTCAGCATCGCGTAATGGAAATCAGAGAGAAGATAGGAGAGCAGTGTTGGAATCACTGTCGAGGAGAAGACAATCCAGCAGACCTACCATCACGTGGTACTACCCTCAGAGAGCTACAGAAGATGCCAGAGTGGTTACATGGGCCCTGCACTTGGCTCAAGGGGAAAGCAAGATGTTTTCAATCCAGACACAGCCTTGCCTTCAGAGTGTTTAGAAGAACTGAGATCTTGTGATAGAGACACGTTAACGTTCACATTGTTTGAGAGAAGAGAGAAGCATTGGTGCAGTAATTGATATTAACCGATTTAGTACTTATGAGAGGCTCATTAATAGCACAGCGTATGTTTTGTTATTTTTAGGTATCCTCAAGAATGGAGTTACTGAATACTGTACTGGTCCTGAAGGAAGAAATGGTAAAAAGAGTCCTGTAGTCAGTGAAGAGTTGAGGAGTAGAGCTGAATTATTGTGGATTCAGGAGACCCAACAAAGAAGAATGAAGAAGGAGTGGATGCCGCAGTTCAGACTATTTCTAGATGATCAAGGTGTATGGAGATGTAAAGAAAGATTGGAGAATGCGAAGCTATCCTATAGCACTTGCTATCCTATTATACTGCCTAAGGACCACCATTTCAGTCTACTGATTGTACTGCAGAGAGCTCACCATAGAGTTAGTCATTCTGGATTAAAGGACACCCTCACTGAATTAAGAAGCCGCTTTTGGATTCCTCAAGGGAGATCTTTAGTGAGACAGATCATTAATCGGTGTGTGGTATGTAGGAGATATGCATCCTCATCTTACAAGGCACCATCACCACCTCTGCTACCAGATTATCGGGTGAGAGAGACCACTCCCTTTTCAGCCATTGGAGTGGACTACGCTGGTCCTCTAGTAATCAAACACCATGCACACAGTCCATACCACATCACACATAAACAAGATCAGGGGATACAGAATACACACACTACTCACAGTGGGAAGACATGGGTATGTCTG